TCATCTCTACAATAAATCAAAAAATCAGCCGGGCGTGGTAGCACATGCCTGTAATTCCGGCTACTCGGAAGGCTGAGGCGGAAGGATCGCCGGAGCCCAGCAGGCGAGGCTGCGGTGGCCGGGAGTGGCCACTGCACTCCTGTCTGGGCGTCAGAGTGAGACTCCAACTCAAAAAACAAAAACAAAAAACAAAAAACAAGAATTACTAAGTAGTCAGATGTGTCATGAAGTGGACTCTTGGTTATCAGAGGAATTTAAAAAAATAAATGGATAGAAATAGGACATTAGGTTAAAATTATTTTATTATAAAGCCAAATAGTAAGCTGATTCAAAGACCAGGCTCTCTTTGCTCTAATATACTCAATAAAGTCTTCTTCACCCAAAAGAAGAGGATAAAGAAATTTCAAAATTAAAGGCAGAATCATATTTTAGAAACTCTAGATTATTGGAGGTTTGAGATTCAAATCCTGATAGTTAACTTAGTAAGCCTTCTATACCTCGATCTTAGTGCCTAAATCTAAAACACTTGAGATAAAAAGAAATCCTCTACTTTTGTGGTATGATTATTATGTCTTATATACTTTCCCAGCCACTATTGATTATAAATCAGGGCTCAGCTTTTCAAGGATTTATTTTTCTAGACCAGAAATAAGGGCTAAAATCATTTTTAAAACCAATAATAAAAAGTCCTGAATAATAGAATGTTTTAAGCCTCCCCACCCCCCCTTTTTTTACTAAAAATAACAAAAATACAGAAAATGGGATAAAACATAAATACAGATCACAATGAAGTGTTATAAAGTGAATACCTATGTAACTGCCATTCAAGTCAAGAAATAGAACTTTTACAGAACCCTAGAAACCCCTATGATCCCTTCCCAATCAGACCCCTCCTTCTCTGTTAAAGGAGAGGACTGCTATCCTAACTTAAAAAAGAATCTCTGCCTTGCTTTTCTTTAGAATTTTACCCCAAAAGTATGCATATTTAAATGTAATATGTTAGTTTTGTCTAAGTTTATGAACTTCATACAAATAGACATAAAAATTTTTTAAATTTTAATTATTTTGAGTCGGGGTCTCACTCTATCACCCAGGCTGGAGTGTAGTGGCACAATCACTGTAACCTCAACCTACTGGGCTCAGGCAATTCTTTTGCCTCAACCTCCTGAGTAGCTGGGACTACAGGTGCATTCCCCCATGCCCTGCTAATTTTTTATTTTTTGTAGAGATAAAGTTTCTCTATGTTGCCAGGCTGAATATGTGTTATTTTATATCTGGGTTCTTTTTTTCATCCAACATTATGGCTTTAAGATCCATTCAGGCCAGGCTCAGTGGCTCAGCCTGTAATCCCAGCACTTTGGAAGGCCAAGGTGAATGGATAGCCTGAGCCTGTGGGTTTGAGACCTGCCTGGGCAACTTGGTGAGACCTTATCTCTACAATAAATCAAAAATTAGCCGGGTATGATAGCACACGCCTGTAGTTCCAGCTTCTCGGAAGGCTGAGGTGGAAGGATCGCCGGAGTCCAGCCGGTCGAGGCTGCAGTAGCCGGGAGCGGTCACTGCACTCCAGTCTAGATGACAGAGTGAGACTCCAACTCAAAAAAAAAAAAAAAAAATCCATCCACATTGTTGTCACATGGCTATTCATTCACTTTAATTGCTGTATAGCATTGTATTCCATTAATATGTCACAATTTATCCATTTCTACTGTTGATAACTATTTGAGTTTTTATTTTTGCCTATTATGAATAGTATCACTATGAATATTCTCATACATGTTGCTCAGAACACAATATGCACAAATTTCTTTAGGTTATATACCTTGGAATAGAAATAATGGATCACAGAGTGTACATATCTTCAACTTGGGTAAATAATAGGAAAACTATCTTCCAGAAAGTTGTTACAGTGTAGTCCATCAAAAATGTTTGTGAGTTGAGTTGAGTAATAGAATTTTGTATTATCAAGGTCATTTGTTAATCTGCATCATGCCAAAAGAAAACTCACTACAATTCATTGGATTTTTTTCTCCTTTTCTAGAGGAATTTAAAAGTTTCGCCTTAAAGCATCCAGAATATGCTAAGATATTTACAACATACCTAGACCTCCAGACGTGTCATGTGTTTTCATTACCAAAAGAAGTCCAGACAACTCCTTCCATTGCAAGTAATAAAGTCAGCCCTGAAAAGCATGAAGAGAGTACCTCAGATAAAAAAGATGACTGAAAACAGTATTCCCAATAAGGAAAATACAGTGGCTTTCACAGGAAATTGTAAGGCATTTACTGTTGGTATTTTTTATGTGTTTGTTGAGTAATGGTGTTTAAAATGGAAAGCTTTTTTATAAAGATGATAGATTTTCTTACAAAAAATGTTTTTTTAACTCATATATCAAGAAATATTACTCTTTCGGTTCTGTTGTGCTTTACTGATTGGTTTACTCATGATAAATACATTTTTATGGATTTTCCAGTTTACTTCGCATATCTAAATGAATGCAGTGGTCTTGCTATTTACTGGTAAGCATTGATCAACATTATAAAGAGTTTTAAAAGTAACCTGCATAATGAACATTTATATACCTAACCCTGAATTGTACCCTACATACTTAAAATTAAGATGTTATTTAAAAAATATAAATAAAATGAATAAGTACAGGCATCTTTTAATCTACTTTCCTCTAAAAAATAGTAATATTCTGTTATCTTTGACCCCTTTTCATGTTGGAAATAAGAATGAAAAGTCTGAGAAGCATTGCAGAATTTTATACATTTAACTTCACAGATTCATTTTTCCATTTAAATGTTTGTGTCTTAGGTAACCACATATGGGAAGGGAAGACTCCATTAATTAAGAACTCATATTCTCTTTAATATGCATCTCTATTGTAGATTTTATTAACTGTCTGCTAAGGAAATCATATTCTTTTACATAAACTACAGGTTTAGAATTTTGTTTTGCTTTGGCCAAAGGCTAAGTAGGAATTGCCTTATTGAAGGTAACATTGATTGCCTAATGAGAAAATGAATTGTTTGCCACATAGTTGAATTTAATTTGAGTTGGATGGTCCAGAATGTAGCACTTACCCAATAAATGAATCAGATTTGTTCTATTTATATAATATTAGAATTAATATGTTTTACCATCCAAATGAGAATTTTATTTTGTTAAGTGTCCTTTCAAATTTTAGACAAATATCTATATAGAAAACACAAAAGATTCCAAAGTATCACCCAAAGCTAGGAATCTAAAAACTTACTCTATTAATGCAAGACCACAATTTAAGCCTCAGGCAGAAATCCAGCAGCAACATTTTTCCTTTAGGTTAAGCAGTAATTTCCCTGAAGTACCATTTTTATTAGGTCTCATGAATGCACACTGTTAATATCATTTATGATTGAGATTTTTGAGCAAAGAGCCAATTTATTAGTATAATGTACAAAAATAGTTGCTTCATATTCTGAATTCAGTCTTTGAAATAAAACTCTTTGTTTTGACTTTCTGAATGTCTTGGTGATTCACCCTCAAGCTAGTTTTTTAAAGTCATTTTTGAAGTTGAGAAGTCTCATGAGAGGCATCTGAGTGTATATTTACACCAAAGTCATGATTTTTAATTATTAAGCATATAATACATATTTTACATATTAAGCAGTTAGTGTTTTAATTTAATGGGTAAATATGTATTTGAATAATTAAATACCGGAAAGTTTTATTTTTAAATATATGTAATTATTTGCTTTTATATGTCTTAAAGCTATTTATACAAGGTGTTAAATGAACTAAAACATGGCTTAAGTAATTAGGATGGGCATAATAGTGTCTGTGATATGCAATGAATGTATGTAATACTCAGGTGTCATGACTGCTGTTTATTACAGAAAAACCACATGTTAATCTTATTAAATATGAAAGAGTAGCATTATAAATTAAAGGCTTTCTATGAGGCACTTGAAAGTGATCTCATTGTTTTCCCATTTTAAAATCATGTTTTATGCTCTTTAATTCCATGTCTATGAATGTAATATTTTTATCTTATGCTTATGTTACTGAATAAACAAACTTGCTACATAAAATTCTTGGCAATTAAAAAATTCTGGTTTTTCCATTTTGTCTCAAATGTAATACACCTTTTTAATACCATGGTTTGAGTATGTTTGCATATTTATGAATATGATTAATCATTTTTACTTGCATTTAAGCTTTATGAAATGCCAGGCATGATTTTACTCTAGTGAAAAACTCAAATTTTGTCCAAAGTAGCAATAGTTATTATTCTTAAAGAAGTTGATTTTTGACTGGTTGTGTTGTGCTTTATAACATAAGTCATAATCATCAGTATTGCTAAAGACCAGGCCTTTACCTTTATTTATATACCTTGGTAACAAAGATTTCTTTCAAAGAGACTTTTATCCTCTTAGGATTTAAAGAAATAAAATTTTATTAAATCGGTTAAATGCACTGTGGATTTATATAATAATCTGAAAAAAATCTTTGAAATAAGAAATACTAGATTCTAAAACCTAAACCATAAAAATTTCAATCAAAACAGTTCTGTTGAAGAATAATGACTTACTGAGTGCTTATAGACCAAGCTGCTTGCATTATGTGTATTTAATCCTCCTCTACCACTGCTTTTAAAGCCTTAGAAGACTCAGTGTGATAGTAGTGGAACTTCTAATGGATATTTAAAGGAGACTACCTTCCTTCAGAAGCCATATGGTCTGCTGTCTGCATAAGGCACAGCAGTAAAATCTGATTCCCAGGCTCAGACTATTACAAAATGCAAGGTGGTTGATTTAAGGTAACTAACTGATGCTCAGATTGAGGGACATTAACTGTATTGGAACAGATGGGCTCTCTACTAGAAAAGTTCTTGGATATTAGGTTTTTTTATTTTGGTGGGGGTTTTTTTGTTTGTTGTGTTTTGTTGTTGTTGTTGTTGTTGTTGTTTTGAGTTGAGATCTCATTCTGTCACCCAGACTGGAGTACAGTGGCACAATCATGGCTCACTGCAGCCTTGGCCTCCAGGGCTCAGACTATGCTTCTGCATTAGCCTCTCAAGTACCTGGGACTACAGGTAGCTGGGACTACCTGTGTGTGCCACCATGTCCACTAATTTTTCTATTGGGTGTTTGTTTTTTATATAGCAAACAGTAAAGTGGATAGAAAGATACTAGTAGAAAACCATTCCCTAGGAAAACAGTAATATTTACGTTCTTGTTTTTTTCCTTTTCTGTTTACTTGGATGAACTTTCCAATTTTTGTTGTTATATCAGAGTGATAAATAAGTGCTATGTTATAGCTTGATAAAGGTGAAGGCCCTCACAAAGTTCTTGATATATAGCCAATATACACATCACAACTCTGGTAAATAACGTGAAGAGCTTTGCCCTTTTATTCTATTTAACTCTTGTTTCTAGCTAATTGTTTTCTCCCAACACACTTCTCAAGTGTATGTGCAAGGACCAGCATGTTCTAACAAATGGTCTTCATTGCATTTCAACACTCAGCTTGCTGTTTTTTTATAACCTGTTAACTATCATTTCTTGTCTTTATTATAAAAGAATCTGTGCAAATTAGAAAAATGAAAAGTAGATAAAAGTATAAACAGACAACATCATGTTTATTTCTACTACCCTAAATCAGCTACTAATTTTTGACATAGTTTACTCCACCCTTTTTTCTAGATGTTCATACATTCTCAAAATAACAATGTTTATGTTGTCTTATATCCTACAATTTCACTTGTAGCATAATGTCCAGTGTCATTAAAATTCTCTGTAAGTGCAGATTACTAAAAGTGTACCTAATATTCCTTTGGAAAGCTGTAACATACTATGTGCAATCATTCTTCTAATGTTAAATGAGCATGTATTTTTTATTTAGAGACTATTATGAGCATTTATTTTTTATTTAGAGACTATTAAAAACATCCACATTAATACTCCATAGTATTCATAATTAGAACAAGTTTGCTAAGAGATTCATTTATACTTTTTGAATTCCAAATTGAAAAATCCACTCAAGATTTTAGAATTATTTAATCTTATTTCAAACTAATTTTATTATAGAAAAAATATTTTTCTGGATTACATAAAGCTTTGTAATTTTTTTAATTTTTAATTTTAGATTCAGGGGGTATATATGTGTATTCATTACATGGATATATTGTGTAGTGGTGGGGATTCTGTCTCAGGTAAGCAAGCTAATTTTAACTTCATGGGGTGGTTAACAGGTTCATGTCTCTTAAAGATAAGTAGATATCATCTTTTTAAAAGATTTATTTTTCCCTTTGTAAAAGTATAATAACAAGCTTATAGTTATTATAAGAAGCAATAATAATAACTACTAGTTTGGAGTGCTTACTATGTCAGGCATTGTGCTAAGTGATTTACAGGAATCAACTCATTTGAGCACTCAATGAAGCATATTTTTGTTCCTTGTTTACTGAACAAAACTTAAAACTATTCTTTAATCACTCATTAAATTTCAGAACTTAGAAATAAATTAAATTTTGTCTGATTCCAAAAGCCGTACTTTTAATCACCTCTCATATAAAGCAACACAGCTGCCTAATTTGTAGAATTTATAGATTTAGCTTCTGTCGTATTTTTTCTTACTAGTGTGTTGTAGATATCAAATTTTTGACTTAGTTCTTAAATGGAAGAGAAACAGAGGTGATTGCAAATGGTTCTGCGCACTGGTTGAGATGGAAAACAGATTAGTGAACCACAGTCTAGAAAGGATAGCACACTGTTTGACCCTCCTCTTTGTGGCCTAGTATAGGTCTGCTGAAAATGCTGAAACCTTCCTATATGAATAATCCAGGTTACTGGAAATCAGAGACATTTTGAATTTCAGGATACTATAATAATCTTTTTTTTCCATTGTGGATAATGGTGGAGCATGAGTTCTCTACTTCTTGTTGGTCCCGCTCTTATGAAGCCCTTTTTGGTCACACCTCTGCTGCTCTCAGAATAAGTATATAATCAATAAAGTAGAGTTTGAGGGAACTGAGGACTAAGTCAATAGTCAATAAGTAGTAGGAATACCTGCAACCTCATTCTAACTGCTGTGGAATATCCCCTTTGCTGTTCTCTCTGCTTATACTTTTCTCTCCTTTAATTCTTACAGAAAGCATAGCAATTGCTTCAAAGCATAAACCAGACACCACTTATCCAATTAAACATTTTTAAAAGTCTCTTCATTGCATTTTGTATGAAATCTGAAATATTCAACATGGCCTACAAAGCCCTACATGGTTTGGCTCCTACCTCCAGTCTGATTCTCAATTGTCTCCAATCTCCTCCCTCCTGCTTGCCTGCCTTTCTCCCTTCCTTCCTTCCTTCCTTCCTTCCTTCCTTCC